ATATATATCCTAGGGTAGTTCCCTAGGTTCCATAACCATCTTTCCTTAATAATTATTCATAATTTTCATAAGAGAAGTATAAATTTCATGTTTAAGTCTAGAAAATCAACATTTATGAGAAGAAAAAGAACAAAGGAAAGAAAATTCAAAAAAATATAGGAGCTGAACCCCTACTTTTGTTATAGGAAAGAAGAAAAGAAAAGGTGGAAGAAGAAGAAGATATGGAAGAAGAAAATGTGTTGATTAGACAAAATTTTAAGTTCTTCCCTTGCTTATTGGTTCAAGTTTTGAAATTTTTGAGGGTTCAATCAAGGATCAAAATTTCGATACGATACACCCGTATTGGGTGTATTGTATTGTATCTTTGGGGTCCCGATACCTGTTTACAGGTGTTTTTGGGGACCAATTTTTTTAAATAATATATATATATATATATATATTTAAAGATGAAATTGAAAACCAAAGAAATATAAAAAATAGGGGGAGTATTGTTATAAGTATCGATACACCTCTGCCAATACACAGGTGTATTGATACTTTGAACCATGGGTTCAACACAGCAGTTAGCAATGTTTGCGTTGATTAAACCCCAACAAAATAAGAAAATAATAAAAAGAAATTAGTATATAAACACATAAGATGAATATTCTAGTTCAATAATGTCTATTTTATAATTATAATGTCAAAAAATAAAAAATATATAAGTACTTTATAACCCAGTGCACAGAATTGCTTAGCGACTGGGCGAGGCGAGCCTCTGAGGGTGCCTTGTTGCCTAGGCGTCACCTTGACAACTATGGTAGTGGAGTGAACTTAATTGGTGGAGGAGGTGGGATGGAAAGTGAGGTAGTAAAGTCCATCATGAAGTTTACCTGTGTGCCAATCACCATCTTGGAGCGAAAGCCCTTAAGTATGCGAAATGAAGGGAAGAAAATAGCCACACAATGCGACTGTTGAGTGATTTTACTAACAGGCAATAAATTGCAATTGAAGGCAAGAATGTGCAAAGCATTATAGATAGTGTAGTTTCCTAGTTGTAATGAACCATGATGTGTAATGGGAAGAGAGACCATTGGGTAAGTTGATTTGTTTAGATCCATGCAAGGTGTGCAATCGTGTAAAGAAGACAGAAGATAACATGTGAATAGAGGTGCCACTATCCACTATCTAGTTGAAAATGTTAATGGCCTTACTAGAGGAGTTGGTAATGGTGAAATCTTGGGAATCGTTGTTTAAAAAGACAGGAGTTGAGTGCATGGTTCAAAGTATCGATACACCCCCGTGTATCGGCAGAGGCTATTGGTACTAAAAACTGTTATGTTTGTGCCTTGAATTCTTTGTGGCGACCCGCTTCATGAATTTGCTTCGAATTAATTTGAGAAAAACCCAAAGGCAAAATTTCATAGTGGTTTGTGGTGGAAGCATAGGGCTTGGGCCGTGACAGATCACCATTGGGGGGTGCGGGGGCGCAGCCCCCGCGGTGGTAGGGACCCAATCCATAATCATCTTATAAGTCCGAACCAAATACGGAGAGTTATGTATTTCAGGGGTTTTCTCTCTTGTACCCAGAGCCTTAGTCTTGTGAGAGACGAGTGAGACATTGGGTGTATTTGGGGCTTATGGTTTTTCTGTGAGGGCACAACTCTGTATTTCTTCTCCAATGATACGATACTATACACCCAATATGGGGCGTATCTTATTGAAATTTTGATCCTTGGTTGAGTGTATTGTTGAATGGTGAGGCCCATGACTAGAGAATTGAGCTCATCAGGGTTGGTAGGCTGATCAAGCTAATAGGAACCAACTGAAGCAGCATACAAGACGGATCAGTCTTTTGATGCACTCTTATCAGAACGGTGCCGATTCTTGTCCCAGTTGGTTGGATGTTAACTCAGCACTGATCTTTGGGATGTCCGGTGCATTTGCAATGATAACAACACAATCTTGGATGTGATGTCAATGATGTTGTCCCAATCGTTGGATGAGGTGGTGGCCAGTAAGCAGCGTTAGCAATAATAGACAAAGTGATTGGCTGGATAGCCAGCTAACTCAGCAACAATCTTTGGAATGTCTGGTGCATTTGCAATGATCAAAACACAATCTTGGATGTGATGCCAATGAGGTTGTTCCATTTGTTGGACGAGGTGGTGGTCAGTAAGCAGCATTAGCAATGATAGACAAAGCGATTGCCTTTAGTACATAGTGATCAGAGAGAGTTCATTTACTGGTGACGTTCCTCTTGAACAATTAGGGAGTAGGCTTTGTTGAGGAATGGATAGGGGTCAAACCCAAGAATGTTTGAGTGAAATGACATTATAAGACTGATTTAATCCCATGAGAAATTGATGAAGTTTTTCTCACTCTTATTTAGCCATAAAGATCTTCTCTGTTCCACAGGTGCAGTCAAGGAATGTGACCAATGCACCAAGTTTGTCCCATAGTGTTTTGAGCATAGTGAAATATGAGGCTACGGTCTGATCACCTTGCTGAAGAAGAACTAAGTCATGTTTAAGCTAATGTACGCGAGGAATGTTACCCTGTGAAAATTTCTCTTCAATCTCCTTCCAGATCTCGGCAACCAAGTCAATGAATGCCAGACTGTTGTATAGCTCCCTAGACAATGCATTGAAGATCCATGTAACTACCACAGAGTTGCATTTAATCAAAGCACTCTCTTCCAGTGCAGAATGCGCTGGGTGAGGCAATGATCCATCCACTCTCTTTCATAACATGCTGCCACATTGGGAGATTTTTTTTTGGTGAGTGGGCAAGACACAAGCATGGCTCCTTGACTATCTGATAAATGCAAAAAATATGGCGAGCTCACATCAAATTCCAACGCCATTACAAGCTTTCAATTGAACAAAGAGCAAGAAACAAGAAGGATTATTGAGAAATGCAAACAGAGTCGCTGGACAAGAAAAAGAATCGCTAGACAAGAGTTAAGTCTTTTCCAAATGAGAATGTGGAGGAAAGATTTGCTGAACAGAGTTGCCAGAGAAAAAAAGTGATGAGGCAGATAATGGTAACAGACACAATGCATGGAGAAAAAGGCATGCAACTTTCATTAGATTAGATGACTTATTTATAGTAACACTGGTATAACAAACTTGTACATATGGTGACCAGCTAAGATTTGAGAACATTCAGTTGTTGGTTAACTAACTAATATTCTAACAAGCTCACACGAGCTGCCAACTTATCATAAAGTCTTTACAGTTAATTCTCAGGACAAGGAGTACCCCGAGTAGTTAACAATTCTTGGAGCCTATCTGAATGAGTAGTTCAGGCTGCGGTCTGTTGCTCTTTCTTCTCTGACTAGAGACTTGTATCCAAGGCTCTACCCTTAGGGAATTACCTTGCCCCAGAGGCCTCTAAGTTTAATTGCGCTCCATTCTTCAAGAATCTCCTCTCCTTTGATGGAAAAACCTGCTACATTCCGCTGGCCCCTCAATAAATCATTAATTAACATCCTTAAGGGATGCCAATTAACTGGCACCTGTAAGGGTCGTCACTACCTTGGCCTTAGTAGAACCAGTATCACAATCACCATTAGCCTATAGTTTAGTTTCAGAAAGAAAGCTCTATCTTGAAACAGAAGTGGCTTTGTGTTAAATCAATTGCAAATAAAGTTGTCAATGATGAACTCTTGTGTTTTTTTTCAAGTACATGTTATGCCATTATTTGTTGACAGATTTCTATTGTATTCTTTTCTTGGTTTGGTGTGTTCTTTTAACAAAATTGTGAAAATGCACAATATAATACCAGTGGTATATTTAATTGTTAATTTTGAAGGATGTCCAGTAGAGATCCATTGGCTCATTTCCTCCTGGCTGTTTTCTAAATGTTAGTTTTAGCAAGATCATTGAGTGAATTCTAATGGAACCATTCTCTTGTCTACTGCTGTTATAGATCTTGGTGTATTAGAATCAATTCTATTTGATTGACTGTAGTGGGAATGTTCTCTAGGTCAAGCCAGCTTATGTTCCCTGTGCAACTGTGGGTCCAGATGAGCCTCATGTAGCAGGTACAGCCTGGCCAGATGCTCTTCTAGAGAAACAAGGTCCGGATTTCTTGGATCCTGAAACTGGACGGTCAGAGTTCGAAGGATTTTTAAACTCTCAACTTCCATCTCACCCCAAGTTGTACAGAGGACAGTTGAAAAATGGACTGCGCTATCTTATTCTACCAAATAAAATTCCAGCAGATAGGTATGGTTCTTTTCTAATTATGCCTAGGTGAAACTACTATTTATTTTTTATTTTTTGGATTTGCAATAATAAGAAATAATTAGTAATAGGAAAAAAGGAGTACAAAAATCATCGATTCTTTTCCCATAGAGTAGAAAGAGAGCAAAGAGGGCTTCCCTTTTACAAGGTTGCAGACATGGTTTAAAATGTTTGAGTATTTCCTACTATTTCTGTGAAATATTTCCATTTATGTGGGTGTTGGCACATATTATTGTTACATATTCCCTAGTACTTTAAAGTCTTTTATATTGTTTTAATCATTATAGATGATTTTTCCTTGCCATTTTTCTTTATGAAGTTGTTTTAATTATACTGTTAATAAAAATAATATTTTAAATTCTTATGTTATGAAAGGATATAATAGCATAAGAAGCATGTTCCTATTGTAAATCATATTTTCTTTTTTATATTAAATGAAACATAACAAAATTTCATGCGTTGCTTTGAAAGGATAATATTCTTTCTTGAACTTTTGTTTTTTAAAGTTGTCTTGCTTTTAAAAGGTGGGCACCTCACCTTGCACCTTGTGCCTTGGGCACAAAAAGCCTCTTGTGCTTTTGAAACACTGGCTTAAAGAAGCAAAGGCCTTGTGCTTTCAGCATAAATGCTCATTCAGGTGGAAACCAAGATTAACAAATAATTTTCTTGATGCTTTAGCAAGAGATGGGTAACAAGGAAAAACCTTTTATAGTGGGCACTAGGCCCAGGGGCTAACTTGGAAGTAATATGTTTTGGATTTTGAAGAGACGAGGCGTCAGCCTTTGGCCGTTGTACTTGTTTCTTCAAATTTCTCTAAATCGAGGGGCAAAATCCATCCCACTATAACCATTCTGAGGGGGGCTTGGTCTGATATAGGAGGATGGCACAATCTTCTTACTTAAATCTAAAATTGGGTACATAGGCTAAAATGAAATAAAAATATATCTGAGACTTGAACCCATGACTCTTAGTAGAATGTTGATTGCTGTTGGGGATAAACAACAATTTAAAATCTGTGCAAATTTGGACTGATCAATTTCAGAATCTTTATGTGATGGAGATATTAATATTTTTTAGTTTTTTAGCTATATTTTCTAGTTTTAGGTGTCTTAAGAATAGGGTTCTAATTTTTCTAGAAATTTGCTGTTATTTGCAAAACTACTATTTATGGTAACACTGAGCTTACTATTTATGGTAAATCTTGTAATTATTATTGTTAGCGTAGGGGTATTTTTGTCTTTATACCTTGATTGATGTTGCTGATCTGTAATGTTGTGTTGAAACATGYGCTCTTAACTTAARTAAGGGMACRTAGGTCTTTTCAGTTATGTTTTAATAATAATATAAATACTTACTGGCCGACTGGGAGAAGTCAAGTTGACTCTTTCAGTTCGAACCAGAATTCTCTATTCTCTCWTTCTCCCTTTCTCTCTTTCTCTATCACTTTTTCTTCTTCTACATAACTGAACTCAGTCAGGCTGAACTCTAAGGCAGACCTGAATTATAACAATTATTTATAGTAAAATTGTGATTTACTATTTTTAGTTATTTCTGGTGTCTTTATGTTAAGTTAGTTTTAGTAGGAATGTAAGGTGTTCTTGGAGTTCTTTAGGAGTCAGACTCCTTATATAAGTGTCTCTATGTGTTTGTCTTACTTTAGGCTCCGTTTGTTTACCCGTAAATAAGAGGGGGAAAGTTGGTCAATGGATATCTGTTTCCCATTGACCAACTTTTTTTTTCGAAAATACATCAGACGCCAAGTGTCTAGACCCCCCAAACATATTAATAAATTAAAATTTATTAATTTTATTAATAAGAGGGGGAAAGTTGGTCAATTAATAAATTAAAATTTATTAATTTTAAAATAAAGCAGAGAAGCAAGACATTGTCGAAAATACATCAGACGCCAAGTGTCTAGACCCCCCAAACATATTACAGCTGAGCCCAAAACATACTCTGTCTCTGAACCCCTAAGCTTCGTCTTCAGTCAGGGCAAACTCTGTTCGGGCAGCCTTTACTGCCTTGCATTGAGAATATCTCCATACTTATATGCTTTATTTCATGGGGAGATATTCCCAATGCAAGATTGAGAAAGGCTGTTAGAATGGTGTGGGCATGGATTTGCCTTGACTGAAGCCGGTCTCCTTGCTTAGCTAGACCATCTGCCAGACTGTTGGCCGATCTTCTAACCCAATTAACCTGAATAGACGTGCCCCTAGAGTGCCATTTGAAACGCCTAAGAACATTCCGTAGATACCAAGATACTCCTCCCTTCTTTAGCCATTCAACCACTATTTTGGAGTCATAATTAGTCATTCAATATGGCTTTCTCAACTCCAAAAACAGCTGCCCAAAATTCTGCAGATGCCACATCACCTTGCTCAATTGGACCTGAGAAGAGAACACACATATTTTCTTCTCCATCTCTGATAACTCCTCCAATTCCGGAGGGGCCAGGATTGCCCATGCAACTCCCATCAAAATTCAGCTTCAGCCAGCCACTTGATGGAGGTGACCAGTCCACTGATGCTATCTGTCTTCTAGAAGAGGAAGCAACAATTGCTCCCCAAGATCTGAAGAAATCATTAACCTGAAAGTCTGAAAACAGATCCGACGTTTTAACCCAATGAGCTACCCATGGTTATGATCTCGATCAAGGCTTCCTTATTCCTTTCCTCTCCTTATCCCCAAATATTCTTGAATTTCTTTCCTCCAGACTGTCCAAACCACTGCTGCCCTTGTACACCTCCACATTAGCCTGCCTCTTTTATTTGTACATCTGCAATTGGAAGAGGTAAGAAATCCTTCCAAGCTGACAGGAGGGAGCCATCTACAACCAAAAAGTGAAGCAAACCAATCCCAAATAAAGCCAACAAAGGGGAAGCAGATTAAGAGATGAAGTGCAGTCTCACCATTTAACTTACATAAGCAGCACCAGTTGGGAGACAAACACCAGTTAGGTCTCTTCCTTTGGAGCTTATTGCATGTGTTAATGCAGCTGTGATACACTTCCCAACAGAAAGCACGGACTCTATGAGAAATGGGGGAGCACCAAATTTCCTTAACAGGGAACAAAGGAGAAAGGGAAGAAGAGGAGGCTACAAGTGAATTAAACAATGATATACAAGTGAAGAGCCAAACATGATTTAGAGTCCACATCCTACTATCCCCATCCCCATCCCCAAGAACCACAGAATTCAGCAATGTAAGCAAAGCAAACACACTAGGAATTTCAGATTCTCTAAGGTTTCTAGTGAAGCCCAAGTTCCAGTTCAGCTGAAGAGGGGAGAGAGGGGGACTAATAAATTCTGACATTGGTTTACCTTTGAGATTGGAAAGAGTGTAAAGAGAGGGAAAAGTCTCCTTCAAAGGGGACTCCCCGAGCCAAATATCTTCCCAAAACCTTATCTTTTGACCAGTGATTTAAAAGGTGCGCCTGAGGCACACAAGCGAGGCACATTTTAGGGTATGCACCTTGCCTAGGTCCTAGGTGCAGCCCTTTCAAAAGGCACATGCTTGGTGCGCTTGATGCACCTTACACCTTAGCAGTCAGCCTAGACATGTGCCTTTTGAAAATTTCATGCCTTTTTTGAACCTAGTGGAGCCCTCGGCCCCCTGTATGAAGCTCTGAGAACCCCCTATTTTCTAATGTTCATTCATTCATCCTAATAAAATAACTTCTTAAAAAGCAATTAAAATTATAAAATCATTATTTCTTGTGTGAGAACTAAGAATTTAAGACCCTAACATGGGCTTGTTGGGGCTTGCCTTGAGGGGCGGCACAAAGGCGGCTTGTAGAATCAGGAATGTAATATGTTTTACATTACATTAGATACTTGAAGTAATGCAATTGAGGAAAAAAAGAGATTGCGGATTTTATATGCTTGAAAATGTTTTATATGTTTGATTTTATGTTTAAATTTTCATTTGAATACGCTTTACATGTTATATTTATGTATTTTAATTTTAGATAATAGGTCTTTTAAAGCATTTATTTTAAAATATAAGTTTACATTTTTTATTAGTATTATGTTTAATATTTTTTGATTTTTTGCAATTTTGGCTTTTTTTTTGATTTTTTGACATTTGTTTTTGATTTTTAGCGTTTTTTTTTTGCATTTTTATGCCTTGCTTCAAAAAGGCACGCGCCTTGCGCCTTGTGCCTTAGGTGCAAATTGGCCCCTACGCCTTTTTTGTACCTTGCGCTTTTAAAACACTGCTTCTGACCCAAGACCAAGATACCTGATATGATTGCTTTTAAAATACTTCTTCTGATCCAAGACCAAGATACTTGATATGGCTGAGGAAGTTAGGAAGAGAGTCATGGATGGGTTTCCAAGGTGTAGCCATGGTAGCTCTATGAAGACAACCAACATCCCAATCGTTGTTTGACAGCCCATGCACACTTGCCACCACTTTATGTCAAAGTCTTTGATCCTCTTTCGGAAATATCCATAGCCATTTACTCAACAATGCTTGATTTTTTAATCTCAAGTTTCTAATCCCTAACCCCCATTTGCTTTTAACTTTATTACCTTCTCCTAACTAAGCTAGTAATCTTTATTCCCTTGCCTAGGTTCCCATAAGAAGTCTCTTATAATCTTTTCAATTTTTTTTTCACAACTTGGGGCATCCTGAAAATTGACATATAATAAACAGGAAGGTTAGCTAAGGTGGATTTAATCAAAGTTATTCTCCCACCCAGAGAAATATAATTTCGTTTCTAACCGGCTAATCACTTCTCAAACCTTTCCACCACTGGGCTCCAAAAGTTGAGTGACTTGGGGTTGTCACCTAGAGGTAATCCTAATTATTTGAATGGTCACTACCCTCTCTCACACCCCAAGGAATCAACCATATCTCCCAACACATCCTCATGAATATTAATGCCTACCAATAAACTCTTATTCCAATTAACCTTCAGGTTGGATACCCTCTCAAAGAGATTTACTAGCAGCTTCAAAATTTCCACCCCATAGCAGATTTACTGACATCAACAAATTGCAAGTGCATGACCAAAATTCTATCCCTCCCAACTGAGCATCCTTTAATCAACTGCAATCTATTGTCTCTTGAGATCAATTTGCTCAGAACCTCAACTACCATGGTGAAAAGGAAAGGTGATAGTGGGTCACCTTGCCTAAGACCTCTAGTGTTAGACAGTTACGCCCTTAGCTCCAATCAGATTGATGTACTTATTGACATTTATTGTAAATGAATAAAGTGCATAATTGATTCATGTTATTTTGGTGTGTTTTTGTGTAATACCCTTAAACTGGACACTTATGAGACTTGTGTTAGTTTAGAATCTTCATAGCCGTTGGATAGATCTGGGGAGATTTATCCTGTCAAGGCTGACACTGATGTGCCGCCAAGTGGGTTGGGGTGGCTTGTCTCAACTGCCAGGGTGAGACCTGAGGTACATGCAGTGTGGGTTTTCTTGAAACCCTGAACCGGACCAAATTCTAGTATTGCCCTGGACTTTGGAGACAGATAGGCAAAATTGGAATGTTACACTTGACCCCTAGACTCGATTATGGTACTGCATTAGGTGTCGGATTGGACTGTCTTTGATATGCCAATCAGTGAGATCCTTGACTGAGTCAAAACCTGGGTATGTTGGGGCAGTCCGAGAATTCACCTGAGTGGGTGATCATAGTGATAGGATCAGCCCCTTTGTCGGACAAAGTGAATGATTGGGGAATGCACTCTCTCTGATGGATACCTAAACCACCGTCAGTTGATTTCAAAATGTCGAGATTTGTTTTGCAAAATATATTTATATAGGGATATACATATATATTATGGTTTCACAAAATGTTTGCAAAATGTTTTAATTCTCGGGATCCATGTGAGTAGAGAGTGCAACACTGTACCTTGCAGCTGAGGGAGAGGTCCTCTCTTGTCGGGCAGTGTTTGATCATTAACGACTGAGAGGTTAAGTGTAAGACCATTGAGGGTTATACCTAATAGGCTAATCTTGCATCTGCCCACAGTCCTTGGGCCTTCATAAGTTGGCTGGACCCAAGGGCTATTTAGTGTAAACGTTGGGCCCATTAAGAGCCCATATTGATGGACTCAGGGGTTCACTGTGTTCTGCAGTGAATTTGGCCAGGCCTTGTAACAAAGGCTGGGCTGAACCCATGTGGCTGATGTGTAGATCAATGCTAGGGTCCCACGCCATACAAAGAGAGCCAAGCTAGCTAGCATTTAAAGGGAAAGTGAGCTATGTGACTAAATGGGCCTAAAGCCCATTTTGAACTGTGCTTAAGTGAGTTAATTAAAAAGGAGCGAATTCTGGTTTATATTCTGATTAGGATTAGCTAAAGGATAAGATAAGTCTTATCCATTTAAGAGTCCAGATCCAAATATCAGATTTGGATCAAGAAACTCTTTCCTAATTGGATTAGGAAGCTAATCCAAAGAAGGCTATAAATAGGGGGCGAATTCACCAGTTTCATACACTCAACAATCTGTAGAATTCTCCTCCAGTTCTTGCCACCCCTATCCAGTTCGATTTCCACCTTTGGATCTGATCAAGAATAGTTCTTGATATTGTTTCTTGCTAGAAGAAGGGTTCTTGTTGAAGAACCACTTTGCTGATCCTGCCTCACCATAAGCTGTGTCATTTTCAGTGGAGGCGGGTTTTGGTCACCTCTTTGGGCGTGAACACCTATGTTGGGAGTTACTGTTATTCCGTATTAGGTATATCCCTACTTGGTTCCTTTTGGTTTTAGATCTGGTTCGGCTTATTTCAGGAACGAACCTTGAAAATGCAGTTTTCTAAATTAGGGAATAGGATTCCCGGAAGGGAGAAAGAAAATTTTTGAAATTTCGCCCAACCTCCTTGCAAGGTTCGCCCATCCATATGATGAATCTCCCTTTCCTTCATCTAGTACCTTCAAAAAAATTGACCACTGAACCATTAACAAGTATTGAATAATGACTTAATTGCAAGCATCCTTTGACCCATTTACACTACAACTCCCTAAAACCACAAATTCTCAAAATGTTAATTACCAATCCACAAGATCTTAGGCTTTCTCCAAGTCTAACTTAACCACAATTCCCATTGACCAGCTTTACAATGTTCTTTTTGCATTAAGTACTAGGCCCTACGGTAAAGGGAGATTCATTTACCTGGGTAAAACTTACCCATCTCACAGGTGGGTAAGTAACTTTCTTGCCTAGGGGAAAAGATTATAAAACATGATGGAACAAGTTTACCATTTTTAACATTGGCTTTTTATGGGTAAAGAGGTCATTATATTACTTACCTGGGAATCAATAGAACATGGGTAGGTGAACTTACCTGGCTAAGTGTTACCCAGGAAACATTTACCTGGGTAAGTAAGAAATTTGTTAACGAATGGGGCCTTAAAGCAATTGGAAATTGATTTGGGTCAGTTTCCTAGTTCAAATTGGAGTTGGTTGTTGAAGGCATTTTTTTTTAAATCCAAATAATATTTAAATAAATTATAACTCAAATAAGTGGGTTGGCTAGTCTACTAGCCAAATCATTAAAACTATATAAAAGTATCCCATATGGGAGTTCCCTCTCTTTAAGTGGGAGGGACAAGTTTCCTTCACCTAGGAGGAGGAGGTAGTTACATAAACTACCCCACTCCCTATTTAAGCTCCGTAAGTGGAAGCTAGAAGCATGGAGAGACACTCTTTGGGGAAAATTATCTCAAGAGATCCTTAAGAAAAACAAAGATAAAGAGAGAAGAAAAGAGAAGTGCTCAAGGGAAGGTAGGGAAGGAAAAGTCTCACTAATACAGGTAGACAAAGGAAAGTCCTCTCTGTAAATACTTCCTATATATGTCTTCTGCTATGTATCCTTCTTTCTCTCTCTTTTATTTTCACTTTTGAGAAAGAAAATAGAGGGAAATAAACCATCTACAACATTCATCAAAAGAAAAAAAACCATCTACAACCAGGTGCCTCTACTTGGTTGATTATGGTCCTTCTTTCGAGACAAAGTTAGGGATTAAACCATCTACAGTTTAATTCTCAAGGGTTGATTATGGTTCCCTTCAAATGAAAATGAATAGCAGAGGGATAAAAACCGTCTACAATCAAATATTCAGTTTGATTGACTACGGTTCCCTTTTTGTAGGCAAAAATCCAAGGATTAAGGCTGTCTACAGTCATAATTTCATCTGATTGACTACAGCTTATTGTGAAGAAAGGAGTGAGAAGGAAATTTTCTTTGTATCAAAAAGAAAGGAGAAATGTATTGTTGTATAGTTTCTCAATTGTATTTTCTTTTTCTTTCTTCTCATTCTTGTACACTTTATGTAAAAGAAATGCAAATGAAAAGTTCTTTTTAAGTATCCTATTGTTCTTTTCTTTTGTTCTATGCATTTATTTCTCCAAGTCAGAATCAAAAGGTGTTCTCTACTTTCTTGTGGAGATGCAATTAAGGGGAACAATCTGTATGATTTCCTGATGGGCCTTACCCAAAATAATAAAAAATCAATCACTTGATTGAGTGAATTATGTTGCATGAGAATTTATTAAAATTTTCATACCAACATTGGTATAGGGACATCCAAGTTTATATTGTTAGAGTTTATAAATAGATTCATTGTAATTGCAATTCAGGAAGAATTGATTTGACCAAACAAATCCCAGTTTAGTGATTTTGGTTGTTACTAGGAAAATTTTCTCTCTTTCTTTTATTTTTTTCCTTCTCTCTCACTCGACAAAACCGACCACCAGATTTGAAATTTGTAGGACACCTACCCTGTCCTGTATCAAGTCCTTAATTTAATTCATTTTGATAAACTATGTTATATAGATGTCTTTTAGAAAACTATGAGAGATAGACATGTTGTATAGTGCTCACACTCATTGATTCCCCAAACAGAAAAATGACATGCATATCTCCATAAATAGCCCAGCTGAGATGCTTAGTCGGTCAGGATCTGAGATACAGATCTCAGATCCAAAAATATCAATAAGAAGGCAGGTTCTCTTGAAAACCCAACTCAAATTCAAGCATTAAGATATCAACATTTGAGATGATTTTTTTGATGGTTAAGAAAAGCTTGTGACATAAAGAGGGAAGGGCAGAATTGCCCATAAATATCAGTGATAGATGAGTTTTGATGATATTGAATATTTCTGAAAACCAGAATTCTTCGGAATAAACATTGCCAAAATCACCTTAGAAAGTTGGAGAAATAATCTCAGTAAACCTGAAATGTTAATAAATAGTGCATTAGTCCCTTGAATATTTTTGTGCAACCTAAGGGATTCAAGCTTCAACTTGTCTTTGCAAACCTGGCTGAAGATCGTCAGTGTCTTATCATACATACTCCACTCTCATCTCATGGGATTTGGAAAATTCTGGGTAGCCTTATGAGATAAGAGAATTTTACCTTCAGTGCTCTATCTTGTGTGCTACGAGTTGTATCTTTTGACCTTCTACTTTGTGTTGGATGCAGGTTTGAGGCACACATGGAAGTTCATGTGGGATCAATTGATGAAGAAGAAGATGAGCAAGGAATTGCACATATGATTGAACATGTTGCATTCCTTGGAAGTAAGAAGCGTGAAAAGCTTCTTGGAACAGGAGCACGATCTAATGCTTACACAGATTTCCATCATACAGTGTTTCACATCCATTCTCCTACAAGAACGAAGGTTTGTTAAATCTTAGTTTTGTGGTTTCAACTTTTTTCATATGCAATAGGGTGCCTTCCTCCAATTCTGCCTCTCCAACCACCAAGGAGATATCCACACCAAAGAAAAAAATGGGCACCCAAAATGCCCTCAGTATGCAGATACAGTTCACGACTAACCCATTAAGCTTCAAATGGATCAACTGACTCACCTAGGGAAGATATTATCATGGGATCAAGTAGTGAAGTGTGATGTTCATGTGGCTAAATCTTTAGTTCTGTTCTTATTGTGGGGAGATGCCTTTGCTAAGGGGTTGACAATTAGTAAACGTAACAAAAGGGTTGCAGTAAGACCATAGATGGACATGTAGCCCAGGACGAAGGAAAAGGTAGATGAGGAGATGGGAACAAAACAATAGACCACAATTAGTACACGTAACAAAAGTTTTTCATTGATTGAACAAAGGAAATTTTGGGAATTTTCCTTGTAAATTCAAGAGGACATATAAGAGAAGGGTTTTGAAGACCAAAAGCAAAGAAAAAAACTCAGCTAGAAGTGGCATCCTTGTTAAGTCAAAGCTTGAGCTTGGAAAAGAGGCTGCGGGGTGTTCCCATGATGTAGGACCAGCTCAGTTCTAGTCCTTAGAGAATGTTGAACGGTCTTATTGATCAGAGTTTTACGGCTGTCGATGGCTGTAATGGCTTCTTGAAGGAATAGGAGAGAAAATAGGGAGAGAAAGAAGAGAGAAAATACCTGGAATCACTCACAGGGTGCCTAGAATCATTCATTGCCTTTGTGTAAAACGTCCATACATATTTATAGACTCTGAACTCATAATAATCCTAGGGGTCAAACTGTTAGACTCATAATAGTCTTAGGAGTCAAACTGTTAGATTCAATAATCCTAGTAGGATTCAAACTAAGCTGTCATATCCTATTTCAATTCAAAGAAGATTCAATAACTCTAATCCTACTTATGCAATGACTCTGAAATTTTAAACATAAACAAACTATAACTAGACAATTTAGACCCTATCATTGGACCACACAGAAAATTGCAAAAATGACAAAAATACTCCTACTGTCCAAAAATACAGAAATACATAAAATATCATAAAATTCCAATTTTGACTCTTCAGCTCCCGCATCACCCCATACAGTTCAATTAGAAAGACCCTTGCAAAGAGAGATGGAGAGAAGGGAACAGGAAGCTGGTTTAGGGGAAGACAACATAGATAAAGAGAGGACAGATGGGGGAAAAGGAGATATCAGAAGACAATTCTGAGTAGGAGCAAGAGGAGGAGGGAGAGTTGTTGGATAGAGTTAGAATGGTAGAAAAGAAAGTAGATATGGACAAGATAGTGGAAAATGCAGTTCAAGCAAACAAGCCTTAGGACTCTGGGTATTAGGTGGGGAAGAAATGGCAAGGAAGCTGTTCAAGGACCTGGAGAAAAGGTATCTGATGATTGAAGAAAGGTCTGGAGAAGGTTCCTGAGGGGCATGCTAATGCAAATGCTTTATTGGGCTGGGGTCTGTTAAAGGGTTTGGGCCTTGGTTGGGTTCAGGGTTTTGCTTTGCCTTTTTGGTGTTTTTGGGTTTGATTTCTTTATTCTGTAATTAAAAACTACAGCTGAAGGGTTGTGTTTTGGTGGATCTAGGGTGCTATTCTGGGGGTGATATCTTGTCACCTGTTTGTTCTATCACTTTCCATAGTTTAATATTTTTTTTATTTATTACCAAAAATTGCTTATGTACGTTCCTAGTAACTTTGTCTGATACTCTTCTGTGCCTTGAAAAGCAGCCTTATTGGTGTGGCTAATCATGTCAGATAGCATCAGAATTTACAACACAATAGAAAAGAATTGGGTCTAGATAACACTGACTACATTCTGTACTTGAGATACCGGAGACTCTAGTAATTGTTTTATTGTGCTACCCCTACAACTTTGTAGACTAACCTCCTTGGGATCTTTAGGATCCAAGGATACTTCCTGAAATCCTTTGAAAAACTACTTTGGAGTTGGCAGTCAAAGGTAAGCAAAAGGGGAAAATTAGTTACTTTGCAGTTGTGCAATGTCATATTCAGGATTAAGTCTTGCTAAGAACTTAAACACCCTGTTCTTTTCTACTTGCTTTTGGTAAGTAGCTGCATCTTTACTACTCTCCCAAACCACAATCTCTAAAAGGTCTATCTCCTGCTACAAGGTTTTGAGAGTTGAAAAATAAATTGCAATAGATTTATCCATAGGCGATAGGGTGGCGCCTTGTTGCCTAGCTGCTTAGGCAGGTGCCTAGGCGTCGCCTAGGCAAATGGATTTCTTTTTTTAAAGTAAAAAACACATATCGTAGGGTACTTCCCTAGGTTCAATAACCATATTTCCTTAATAATTATCCATAGTTTTCCATAATAAGTATAAACTTCACAATAAGCAACTAAAGAAGGTTATAACTTTATATGATAAAATTGTAAAAAATCAAGATGAAAGTAAAATACAAAAAGAACAAAGGATGCAGTTGCTGTTTTATTTAACTGAAGAGAGAAATAGAGAATAAAAAAAAGAAATCTCTCTGTACTTCTATTCTTTCTTTTTCTCTCCTCAAAACCCTTTGATCTTTTAAATTTCAATAGTAAAACATTAAAACAAAGTATAAATGATATATAGTATATAATCGAATGTATTCACACACAATTAATAAGATGCAGCAATGTAAATGATATTATAATAAGGCACCCACCTTGTCATTGTTGTTGTCTAGGTGGATGCCTAGTTGCCTAGATGAAGCCTTGACAACTATGTATATATTCATGAGTTGACAATTGAGTCAACTCATGTAAGAGAAAATAGCTTGTTGTCTAGAGTTGTCTGCCCTTATATAGATGAAAGCAGATATGGTGAGTATTGTCCCATGTCTCATATCACCTTAGTATTGTAATGAAGGCCTTGTCTTCATCCATATAATGGTAGACAACCATATGTTCAAGCCAGGATTTTTGTTGGAGGCCCAAAGCAAAGCTAAACCACACCTGGCCTAGCCTGGGCCCACACAACACTTTTTTTTCATGTGCTACACATCCTATAATAAAAAATATTATAAATAATTAAATTTTTATTATTTGATGTCATAGGCCCAAAGCTCAGCTTCGCACCCAAGCTTGGACTATAACCCTTATCATAGGTGCTAAGCCCAGCCTGGCCCATAATCACCCTAGCTTGCTTCCTGCCCCAAAAAACTCTATATTTTGGGCAGATGGTCTAGCTAGGCAAGGGGTGAACAGAAACTCTATATTTTGGGCTGTATTGTAATTGCTTTTTTTGGTGTTCAATGGTTGTACTCGGGAGTAAAGATTGTTTAGCTCCCTTGCTTTGTAATTTTTCATAATCTTAATTCAATTCACAGTTATTGATAAAAAAAATGAAAAAGTCTTGCTCATGATGGATGTGATCTGCCTTAAAGTGAGAAAAATAAGCAAAGAAAAAATAAAGAATTAGAGAGGATCAGGTTTGAGACAAGAGAAGACGAGAAGAGAAGTACAAGAAGAGAGAAACATGGATGCAGCAGTGATGGAGTTCGAAAACAAACTCTCTCTAATTGCCACCTCTTCTTTTATTAGAAATATAATGTCTGATACGATGACTGAAATCCTCTTACTTTAAGAAATAAACAGAAGAGAAATGAAGAGTGGTAAAAAGACCTTTATATCCTGCTTCATAATACAAATAAGAGCTAATTAATTTCAAACAGTGGAGATTGTTCACTTTGACATGTGCATCATGATTCTATTTGGTATATGCAATACTGGTCGTAGCAGAGACTTGGGATCGAGTCCTGCCTGCACCTGGGTGGGGGGTGGGGGGTTATGGGTTGGGGGATGGGCTGCTCCCCCGTTGTATAGCCCTTCAGAAGATATCAAAAAAAAAAAGAAATACTGGTTCCTGGTTGTTGCTTAAAAAGTTGTCTTCACACTTAAAACAACCTCATATACATGTTTTGACATTAAACTGGAATTTCTCTTTTTTTTCAGGATTCTGATGGGGATCTACTTCCGTTTGTATTGGATGCACTGAATGAGGTATGGTATCTAATGTGAAACTGGCTTCTGGTTCTGGTAACTGACGAAAAAAGCTTCCAAAATCTGATTTGAATTTCCTTGTTCGATTTTCTTTATTACTTTGTTAATAGGTAACTTGTAACCTTTATTGATTAAATAAAATAATTTTTATCAGTGCTTAGAAAACTATACCGGACCGTCCGGTAGGACCAGTTGAACCATGACCTGGGACCTTGGCCGGTTTGGTTTTACCCCAATAACTGCTTTTGCTAAAAAACCAGTGTAAACTGGTGAACTGGTCCCGGTTTCGTGAAACCGCCCGGTCTTTAACCAATTGAATTTTTAAAATGTGTTGAATAAGATTTGAACTCATGACCTCTTATTTTCATATATTGCTTAAATACCATTAGTCCACCTCTTAGCTTATGTTAATTAGTGACTCTTTATTGTACATATTACTTTATTATGCATCTATTTTAAAGAAAATGTAAATTAAGAGTCTTGAACTTTAGTTGTTTAAAAATTAAGGAACTTGCCATCCATACACCATATTTAAGTGTATTAAAAGTTGTAAAATATATTATATACAATATTTATATGACCTGTAACATATATATATATATGTGTAAGCCACGTCATCACGGGTCGACCTCTGGTTCAACCCTGGTTGAACATCTGACCCGTGAACCTCTCTCCCTTCTCCAGTTCTATGCCTGGTTTGGTTCTCTGAACATTGATTTTTATGTACAAAGGAAGACAACACAGGCTGGCATTACCACCTGACCGATGGATTACATTTACAATCCATCAGTTGACCATTCCCCAATACAACTAATCCCTATTTGCCTCGTTCTTTTGCTAAGGAGTCAGTAAGAGAGTTTGCTAATCCATGCACCAACCATGTTCTTTGTTATTTCTGAATTGATTACTTTTTTCTATTAAATTAGCATTTGCATCTCTGATACACACTGAAGTTCTTTTCATAGAAAATATATAATAGGATATGATATATATGGGTGTTTAATAGTTGGTCTCTTTAATGTAGATAGCTTTCCACCCAAAATTCCTTGCTTCTCGGATTGAGAAAGAAAGACGAGCAATTCTGTCAGAACTACAAATGATGAATACAATAGAATACCGTGTTGATTGTCAGGCAAGTAGTGAAATCTAATTTATGCTTATAACATTCCGTTGCTTTTGTATATTGTGCATATCTTGGCCAATATGTTAATTGTTTTTATTGATTTTTTGTATACAGTTGTTACAACACCTGCATTCAGAAAACAAGCTGAGCAAAAGATTTCCAATTGGATTGGAAGATCAGATTAAGAAGTGGGATGCAGATAAAATTAGGAAGTTTCATGAGCGATGGTACTTCCCTGCAAATGCAACCTTGTACATAGTGGGGGATATCGAAAACATTTCCAAGACAATTTATCAGATTGAAGTATGTTTCACCTCTACTTTAGATTTGTTTATAATGCAAGAACGTGGAAGTGTGCATCTAGGAACAATTTATGACTTATTTGTCTATTCCAGTGTGGTAATCCTTTTTTTAAGTTTCAATATGTTGTTTAACTTACAATTTTAGTATCTTGCAGGCTGTCTTTGGAAGAACAGGTGTTGAAAATGAAACAACTGCAGCACCAACTTCTAGTGCATTCAGTGCAATGACAAGTTTTCTTGTTCCAAAGCTGCCAGTTGGTCTTGGTGGGGCTTTGTCTAATGAGAAGTCGGTTCTTCCCTTGGATCAATCCAAATCTATTAAAAAGGAAAGGCATGCATTTCGTCCTCCTGTCAAACATATATGGTCTCTACCAGGAAGTGGTGAGGATGCTAAGCCCCCCCAGATTTTTCAGCACGAGCTACTTCAAAATTTCTCTATAAATTTGTTCTGCAAGGTAAGCAATGGCTCAATTTTATTAATCTTATTGTTGAAGCATGAGCAGTTGGATAAGGTTGTATTAACTTGACAGTATTTGAAATGTATAGACAAAATTATACCCTTCCATAAAAAGAGGGAAAAGATAAGTAAAACACCCACGAAAAAAGAACTCAAAATTTACTATTATGATTCGGCTTGCCCTTTCTCTGATAATAGCCAAGAAGAGAGAAGAAGAAAGAAGAAAGAAAGAGAGAGAGAAAGGAGGAGAAAAGGAGAGAAGAAAAGTCTGGATCGAATGAGAGAAAAAATTACCTCTCCCATTCGGCCAGATATGTTTTATATTGCTAACATAATGGAAAAGACACATGTGCCCCTACTTAAGTGAGG